GTATGTTTATATATATATATATACAACTAACGCATTCGCATACATGCAACGCAGCGTTGCGAAGGCTAGTAGTATCAGCATAGCGACCACGCAGAGCACCGGCCAGTGACTGGCTGCCTCCGGGTTGAGGGCGTCGGATTTAGGGCACATTTGAGTGCAAGGTTTGGGGGGCTAGGGCTTAGGGTTTAGGGAGACCCTACACCCCCTACAAACAGGAGCTCTGAGTTGAAGGTTTCGGTTTTGGGGTCGAGGTGCATCTAGTTCACCGGCAGCATACCAGATATCTCATACCCGTGGCATTTGCTTCGGACACCTTGTCTAGCGGGGTAGCGTCTGAGGAGGGTTTCGAAGTGAAGATGATGTACTGGGAACTTGGAGAAAGCCTCAATTGCGGTACGAGTGCATAATGCTGAGGGCACCTGAAACTCTTGAACTCCATAGCCTCGACCCGCAATTTAAGGTTTCAGCTTTGGAGTTTCATGGCTTAGACATGTGGGCTGCTGCAGGGCAGTGTCTGGGCTGGTAGGGTGGGTGTGTCTGACAGCTGGAGGGTGGGGTTGTGTGGGTGGGTGGGGGTGAGAGAGAACTGTAAACTTTTGTTTGACATGAAGAAACTCTCAGGGTTTGGAGTGTTAGCCTGGTGCTTGATGGGTGCTCAGTTCGGTCTTCGAGCTCTCAGTCTCCGAGCTTTTGGAGCACTTCTGGGGCGTCTTTGCGGTTTTCGCTCTTTACCCATACCCCTTAAGGCACTGGGTGTAGAGGCCCGGATTGGTTGCAGGGCTTGACTCCTCTGCTCCGCATGTGTGGATTGCGAGTTCGTGCTCCGAAATTCGAACCCTCAACCCGGCGAGACCACTGAGAGCATTGAATGGGGCGCCGGGGTACCCTTGCGATACCGAGCCCGGAGCTCAAGCCCGAGCTGTTCCCGATAAGTTGAGAAGCGTTGAGCTAGATCCCCAAAGCCGTACACCCTTCAGCCTAGCCCTGAAGCTAAGGGGAGATACGCTTTAGGCTCTCAGCAGGCCAGACCGCAGTGCGAGCTCCTGGCTGGCCAAAGTGTCCCGACAACCACAGAAAAGGCTGCCGAAGCCAGAATGCAACGAGTCAAAAGCCATGGACTCAGCAGGAGTGTGGACTCCTGACGCTTGAGGACCACCACCGAAGTTGAAACAGCGAAGATGTTGGGAGCCGATGAGCTGAGAAGTTTCCTGGGCTTCGCGGCGATTTGAGTGTCTTTTGCCCCAAGGCTTTATTTAGACTTCGGATCGGACGACAGCATGGGTCACAACGACGAAAATCTTGGGGATGTCCACGCGCAGTCACATGTTTTTGCTAGAGTCTAGAGTCTCTCTAGAGTCATTAGGAAGTGGCTTTGGGCTTGACGGCGACCAAAACACATCCACTTAAACCATGTGAAGCCCGAATCGGCAGAGATTGCAGGGCGCACCGCTGCAACCACCGGTCCGCAGCTTCGTTCCACCTCCCAGCCTCAAACCCCAAGCTGGGCAGCATGGGTACGGAAGCCGAAGCCTTTGAACCAACGCCTTACGGAAAGCCGCCGAATTCTGTGCACATGTCTTGCCTTACAACCTGTCGAACTCCCTAAACAGAAGAAACAGCCAAGCAAGCGTTTGATGGTCCGAAGGTGTGCTTATCAATTTCACGAGATTTTGCAGAAAGGACCACGCACAACCAATAGTGCTGGCAAGTTTAGCTGAAGCTGGATCTCCAAGTACCTGCTGTAGCTTCGCCGCGCCATGACCGAGCTCGAGGAGGGCAAGCTCAAGTTTCGCACCTACCGCTGGGCAGAGGCGACGATGAGTTGGTGGTTTAGATGGCTTGCAGTAGGGCTTCAGGATTGAAAGTTTCAGGGTTTTCCGGGATTTGAATTTTGATCGGTTTTCGGGACGGCCAAACTTGGTCACAGACAATTCTTTGAAGAGCCTACAGCAAACACCCGTGTAGGAAGCATCTCCCAATATGCCACAGAGCAACCCAGCGAATGCCTAGCACTTGGCAGCGGTGGTTCCAAGGGGCTGCACATCTTAAGCAGCTGGAGCTTTCGGGACCCGTTAACAGGCGTTCACGCCTTGAAGTCTCGACTCCCAACCCACACTCGAATAGATCGTCTCTGTGTATACATATGAAACATATATGTAGTATATATATATAAACATACACATGTGTACATATATGTATATAACTATACATATACAAATATACCCACACATACATACATATATACATGTATACACATATATACACATATAAATATATATATATATACACACCTGTATATATATATATATACATACATACATACATACATACATACATATGTATATACATGAATATATATATATATATGTGTGTGATTGTGTGTGTGCGTCTGTTTCTCTCTCTCTCTCTCTCTCTCTCTCTCCCTCTCAGTGTCTCCCTCCCTAGCCCCTCTCTTTTTCTCTTCATACATAGTTAGCTAGTTAGTCAGTCAGTCAGTTAGTTAGTTAGTTAGTCAATCAATTGCTTTATTAAAAGATTATTTCATTAGCTAGTTCATGATACATATATATATACACACATATTTCTATACACATGTATGTATGTATGTATGTATGTATGTATGTATGTATGTATGTATGTATTTATGTATGTATGTATTTATGTAGGTATGTATGTATGCATGTATGTATATATGTTAGTAGGTCTGTAGGTATGTTTGTATGTATGGATGGATGTGTGCATGTGTGCATGTGTGGATGGATGGATGGATGGATGGATGGATGGATGGATGGCTGGCTGGCTGGCTGGCTGGCTGGCTGATGGATGGATGGACGGACGGAAGTATGGATGGATGGACGGACGGAGGGATGGATGGATGGATGGATTGTTGTTTGTTAGTGTCTTTGTTTGTGGGTTTTGTTTGCTTGCGTGTTTGCTTGTGTGTTTGTTTGTTTGCTTGCTTGCTTGTTTGTTTCATTGTACACATGTGATCTTCCTCGACTCTGAAAGCCTCAAGCCACATGCCACTTGCGCCTGGAGAACCGGCTCTCCCATGCCGCGGCCGTCGCAGCCGCAAACTGGGATCGGCCACAGGCATGAGTAGAAAGCGCGGCTTTAGGATCTTGAAGAGGTTTGGGGGTCAGGCTTAGAGGGTGCATCATCAAGGACCGAGAGGCTGAATTCGAGCTTCAAGGCTTTTTGTTTTTAAGATTTGTTGTGCCAAACATAATTGCAGGGGTTCGCTGCTACACCTCGACGCTTCTTCGACCGCCTGCGCCAGTAAGTTGAATTGCAAGCGTGTGGAAGCCGGCCTGCTGACTGCATGCTGAAACCCAGAGCCCTCGGGAGTTGAGCTTGGTATCCTGAAGCCTCGTTTAACTTTCGGATGAAGGTCTACGTGGCCGAGATCAAGGGTACTTGGACGAAAGAAATCTTAGAGGCCCATGCTGTGTGAGAGGAGCGAGCATAACTTGAATTGCGGGTCGAATGAAGGATTCAGCCGATCTTTGCGAACTGCAAAGTGGAGTTGGGCTCCACGGCGCCGAACGGCGAGCCTTGACCCGGGAACCATCCCCTGCTCGAGCCCACCCGCGGCTTTTGTGTTCTTTGTCGTTGCTTGGGCTCAAGGTTAGGGCCTCGAATCGTGCATTTCCTCACCCGACACTGCATCCTCGGCCTGGAGGTTAGAGGCTTGGCATCTGAGTCCGATTTAGGTGCTCTGCGCATGTGGCCTCGGGCTGCAGTTTTGGCAGATGGAAAGGGGCCGTGGCCCCATGGCCCTGTGGATGTGTTGAGGCTGCACGCAAAGCCCAACCTCCGAGAGCTTTTCGACTGGTTTGCCGTGGATGGACGCTTGGATGGGAGCGGCCTCACCCGGCTGCTGCAGGCACAACGAGAGTCCGATGGTCTCAGGGAAGAAATATCCGACGCTTTCTCGCGCATGCTTCAAGCCACAGTCTTTAGGCTGAAGACAAACGCAAGCCTGGGCTGGGAGGACTTCCGTATCACCTACCAGCACTCATACTTCCCACTTCGCAAAAATCGGTTCACGAAGTTTGCAGCGTGGAGCTGTCTTAAGGTTCGCAGACAGACCTTGCCGAAGGATTCCTACCATTATCGTTACCTTCCCAAGATGGAGGCGAGGTTTCTTGCTGCGGTCGGCCGCACCATGGTGGAATGGTGTAATGATCATGTGCGTCACAGAAGGAAGCCTAAGCCACAGACGCCCCCGCCCCCACCAACCGGTGGCTACCGAGAGGAGTCGCAGATCTTATCCTTTACGGCCATGCTGGCTCAAGGGTGTAAAGCATCGGAAGCCACTTTGCGCTGTTCTTTTCCCAGGAAGGCAGGACAGAGAGGCCGTTTGGCAGTGCTGGTGACCGGCATCAAGAACCGGTACTACCCTCGAAGTGCTTTCAAACATGTGGTTGCTCCGGCCGCACGGGAAGGCTACGAAGTGGACTACTTTGCGCTGTTGGATTGGAAGTCAGCGATTACAACCGACCGCATCACTGGACAAGCTGTCGGGGTTTTCAACCCACTACACGCAAACAACAAGCGCGAGGCCAGGTCACTCCCAAATCCTCAGTTCGCCAACGCGAGCGTGCGACAAGGTCTAAGCCTTGTCTCACGCCTCGCACGGGCCTCCGGCGCAAGCAGCTTGTACCTTCAGTTCCTGGATCCCGGGCTCCAGGAGGATCCTCCCCGGCAGGGTTGCAACCGATACCTTGGCCAGGGGAGTGCTGAAGTCATGAACTACAGAAGGACTAGGCTTACCTACAAGAATGTTGAGATCCTGTGGAACATCACTTTGGAGAGGTTGAAGCGACAAGGCCTGGCTGCCTACAACCACGTGCTTTGGCAGCGGGAGGATGCACATTGGGTCAGCGACTTACGCCTGGATCTTTTTCGGGATCCTTGGACAGTGTCCGGCTTTTCGATGTCCGGAGCTTGCGAAGCTGCGCCGAGCATTCTGCCAGAAGGCCATATTTCGGATAAGGTCTTTCTAGCGGGCGAAGTAGCCGCAAGCTCCTTTTTCAAACTGTATGATCTGGTGAACTGTGGGAATCCAAATCCCGAATTGAGCCGCGTACGTCATCCCGAGCATTTCATCGTTGAGGCCACCCGCGCTCTGGGCTTAAAGTTTCAGGTGGTGCCATGGAGCTACTTGCCGGTTATCATCGCCCGACACATGAAAATATATGGTTATTCAGAAAGTGAGGCCGCCTTCTGCTTAAAGTTCTCTCGATTCTCTCTCCTTCGTCCCAGCGGCCCGTGCGTGTCTGCCGATGTTGTGCCATACCGAGGGTGCCACGACGTCTGGGAAGGTCTGCACGACCGGGCGCTCAATGGTTTCCAGAAACAAAGCCTCGCTGCGTATGTCTCGACAGCTTGCTCGCATGTTGCCTTTAGCCCTGACGTGTGACTTGGTCTGTGTTGTTTTACGCATATGTTGCTATAGGGACAGCTATCAGTAGCTGCGGTTATCTTATTGTTTTTCCCCGAACCCTAGTGCCTGGATACTCTGTGGGCAAACTCTCCCCTACGGCCTGCAGGAAAGCAAGACCGTTGAGGTCTCAGCTAGGATTTTTTCAATGTTTGGAATGTAGGAAGTGTAGGGCATTAGGTTTAGGGTTTAGCTCTTAAACATCTCCAGACAGGACATAGAATCAAAGCCTACTTGGAAAATTCCGAAGCCACTTCAAAAACCCCACATATGCCATCAGACATGTCAATCCAAGTCTCACTGGTCGAGTGCAGGCACAGCGGGATCGCGAGATCCAGAATCAGGCTCCCCACCGCGAAGTCCAAGCGTTTCTTTGCTGTTTTAGGCGTTTCGGCTTGTTTCAGGTCATGAGGCTACATTTAGAATGCACCTGCTGGCGTCTACTCACGCTTCGGGCTTCGATGTTGAGTTGTGGGCTTTTGTGGCATGCATTTTGTTTGTGGCTTGAGGTTAGCAGAGGGTTTGTTAACACGCACAGACGCTTATCGATGTTCATAAGGAAGGTTCGGCCCGGTTTCACCACATCACAGAAGCTTGGAACGCGGAATGCACACCCTGCACCTGCATATCTTCCAGCAATCCCGGCACTCCGAATCTACTAAAACCTGGGTGGCCTCAGGGCCGAAAAATCCACCATGCGTTTCCTTATCATTTTCCTACGCTATCTCAGCTCCTCAAGGCTTCAGCCTGGTGTGCCGTCACAGGTGCTGTCAGCCTTCCGCAAGGATCTGCTTCTGAACCGCAGTTGGAAAGCCGGTTTATCTCCGACATAAACCCAAGAAGCCCCGGCTGGTCTTATGTCTTTGTTAGATCATGACCTGCTTTGGATCGTGTAACTCAAGCCCCGGAGCTCTGGAGATCTAAGATGCCTGGAGACTTCTTCTCCCGAGGCTCTAAGAGGGACGTCTGTGTCCTTTTGCCTTTCATTTTTGGTTGTGGCCGCAGGGGTGTGGAGCTCTTCAGAGTCTACTGTCATGTTACCAACAGCATCTCCGAGCCTTGGCTTAACCAATTTGGAAGCACCTGAACACCAAAAACTAACATCGTCGTGACACTATTTAAATCTGCTGTGTTTGTACTCTTCTCCGTCTTCGTCCTGCCCTTCCCCCAGCACCTGCACCGTGTTGCTCCTCGCCATCCTCGGCCTCGTCCTTGTTGTATTCCTCGTCCTCCCCCTCCGCCTGCTCCGCCTGCTCCTCGCAGTGGTCTTCAATAGGCTTCGCAAGACATGGCCTTACCAAGGCCCTCCGTGCCTGCACCTGTGCTGGAGCGGATGGATGATAGCAGCTGGAGCAGCATTGTCGGTGTTGGTACAGCATGGTACAGCTATCATGTTTAATACTAAGTAGTATTCGTGCAGAGGATGATGAGAGTGACGATGATGCTCGTGACAGAGACGACGGGGTAAGGCAGTACTTGTAGTAGCGGAGTAGTGGTAGCAGGTGGTAGCAGCAGCTGTCGTCATAGCCGTGGTAGTGGTAGTGGGGCAGTGGTGGTGGGGCATGGGGAATAGCAGCAGTTTCGAGGGTGCAGTCGTTGTGTCGTGACTGTCATCCTGGAGGTCGTGGCAGAAGTGTAGTAGCAGTCGTCGTCGTCGTAGTACTAGTAGTACTAGTAGGTCCGAATAGAAGTAGTATTCCGATATAGTTCGAGCCCCTGCGTGGAGGCGGTTTCTGGGGTCTCAGGCAGTCGGAAGACAAGTGTGCAGAGTTCAACCAAAAGTGCTGTTTAGCTGACTTGCTAGATTTGGGGTTTAATGTTTCTGGTTTCGGAGTTCGCTGATCCAAGCATCCGGCCGAGAGTTGCCCTGCATGCTTAGAGTCCCAAAGCCCCAATTGGTTGGAGGTACGTGCCGTGGTATGGGCGAGTGTAGGTTTAGACACTGCTTCATAGAATTTTGCACATCCATCAACCCCAAACCCTACGCAACAATATGTGGAAATTCTCTAGACTCACTTAAGCACCAAAAGCCCTGGCTTGCATAGACTAACACAGGCCCGGCTCCTGTGCAGTGCCCGAGCACGACCAGCACAGTGCTGTCCGGGAGGCGCTCTCCCAAGACGGAGATTTGCTAATAGGGCCTTATAACATATATAGGAGGGTGGCGAGCTTCGAAGACTGATCCTTGTTTTTGCTTTGCATGCAGCCCCTACTGTATGCTGAACCTGAATGAAGCCTGCAAGGCCCCCTCCAGAACCGGTGCCTTAGGTTGCTTATCCTACCCTACTCAGGCACAGAGATCTTGTTGTTATTTTAGCAAGTTTCAGATTTTACGCTTTCTTGACTAGATTTCGCTCTAAGCTGTCATTGAGTTAGAGGTTTGCTGTTAAGGAGTATTTCAGGGTCTTTAAAGTTTAAAGCGCAGAAGAACATGAGACACTCTTGAACACTTCGTCTAATGTTGAAGGAATCTTCTACAGTAGGTTCTGCATGGGCTTTTGTCGAATTCCTTTGGAGCCACTGCGCGAGCAGCGCAGGGTCGTGTCGGCGTCGTGACGACAAGGTAAGCCCAAGGATCCCCGAACAGCCCCACCTGCAACCCCAAGCTAAGCTTGCGCAGAGTCAGAGGAGTAAGGCTCCGAGGACAGACGCTGCCACGGGCTCAAAGCCGGTAGCCTGGGGCGACGGTCCCTTCGGAGACAATGAAGGCGTTTGGCTTTCTTCAGTGCCTAGGGGTTCGTTCGCGGCTGCTGTGCGTCGGGCTTTTTGGGGGGTACGGTGCAGCAATTCAAGGTCGATTGCGAGATAAAAAATAGATAGCTGCTTTATGCCAAGAGCTTTGCATACTTTGCATACAGGCATGTGAGGAGTTGGGCTTGTGCTGTAAGACATAGTGGGAGAGAGCAAACAGGGCTGTTCGGGCACGCCTGATCCTATGAGTTAATACTCGGATGGCCGAGAGGCAGAGACAGACGGTTGTTACATGTACTGGGCAAGAAGGAGACCTGGCCGGAGAGGAGAGCAGAATCCCGAAAATCCATGTCCAAGATACGTACCGTCCTACAGACTGCGAATCTCTCGAACCCCAACTTAAGCCTAAGCTCTGAAGCCTGGCTGCGTGTTGCGGCTTTACCCTCGCCTCTTGGTAGGTTGGCCTCCTTTGCGTGGCCTTGCTACCACTCACCGCCGCACTCACCTTCGGGGACCCCGAGTCTTATTCGGGCGCGTGTCCTTGCCTGATGGCTCTTTCGGGCTGCGGTCCAGGGCTCGAGAGAGGCTCGATGGAGCCACTATGACAGTTCGAAGAGCTAGACTTGTTGGAAACGGTGGGCACGTTGGAACTCAAACAGTTTTTCAGGCATTAGAGCTTAGCTTCTGGAGTCCCAAACGTGACGACCTTGTGGAGGAGGACGATGCAGCGCGGCCCACCACGAAGGTGTCCACACTAGACCCCTCTTTACGGAGTTGAGGGTCCGAAGTTGCCGTATTTGGGGTGAGGGATGGAAAGGTGATGGGTTTGCAGGCGAGGTGCTTGGGTTATGTTTGAGCCTTCCAAATGCCGACAAGAGACCTTCGACGTAGGAAGATGCTCCTGCCTCCCGAAGTCCTAGAGAAATGAGCAACCAGCCAAAAGTAAAGTACAAGTAACGTTGTTTTTCTATGCCGCACCCTGCCAGAAGCTCGCTTTCACTTCCATGTCTTGCAGGTGGTGAAGCTTCTCAAGGGCATGCAGGAGATCTTTCTCTGCCTGCTTATCCGCCCGATCCCACCGCCTAGCCTAAACCTGCCCCTGCAGCTCGACAAGTTCCAATTTGTGTAGTCTGGAATAAGTTCATGCATTTCATGCAGGCCTGTGCGAGCATGGTTGTGCGCATTCACCGACCCTCTTTGGAAAAAGACCAATTGGCCGTTTTGGGCTCTTTGGGGCTTCGGGATAGTGGGAGTTGTGGGCAGGAGCAGGTGGAAAGCGAAGCCAAAGAGGATGAGGAGACATACGACAAGTTCAAGTGCTGGTGTCACGAGTGCTGCCCTCGGTGCTGGGAACGCCTTGCAGAATGGTCGCGCGGTTGAGTCATGACTTACGTGCATGATTTGAGCTCCTCGAGCCCTGCGGTAGCTTGTCTAACCTTTTTCAAGTAAGAAAGGAAGAAGGCTTGATCTTCAGGACGTAGCACCAGACCAATTTCCAGCATAGGACGAAAGCTTTGTGGCTCTGATGTCGCCGGTCATGGGTTTTCAAAGTTGACCCTCAGGAACACCGTGGCCAAGGAGAAGGCAGTGAAGGAGGCTGAGGCAGCCACCCGCGAGCTCAAGGCCAGACAAAGCTGTTTTATTTATCGATGCGGTCTTTGGGCGGCAGTAGCTTGAAACAGTAGTGTTGAGAGAGAGAGCCCTGACAGGGAGCCATGTTCCCTGAAAGTGGTGATCCTGGTTGACCCAAAGCAAATTGGAAAGCCAGGATCGCGTGGAAGTCCTCTTGGCCAAGAGCGAGCGCCTAAAGCAGGAGGTCGAGAATGCCGAGGACTTGCGGCATTGACTGAAAGTTCCAATGTGGGCCCGGGAGCTTCTCGGCGCCCTCCACAGCGATCTGCACGCTCTGGCACCTCCAACACCTGCTGTCCCGCCACCCCTTCATGAACTTAAGAATCCTGTGAATGGGAAGGACGAGCGAGCGAAGAACGAGAACGCTCTTGACACTGCTAGGCTCTTGCGTCGGCAGCAGAACCAGGACTTTGTAATGTTCCGGTTTTTTGTGGTGTTGGGAAGGCTTGGGGACTATGGCCGGGAGGGAGTTCCTCAAGTTAGGACCAGGTCCGATCCTGGTTTGGCGACCCCCGTTGTCAAGATGTCAACTCTTGGATTGGATGCGTGCCCGTACCTGGCTAAAGTTTGCAGTAACAGTAGCAGCTACCAGCTACATTGCACGCGAGGACACAAGCAGTTTTGCTTGGGTTGAAACTGAGCATCGCCCTGGTGTGAAACTGCTCGTGTGAGACTTTCGCTGTGGTGCGATGCAGTCTTACTATTACATAACATCAATTTGTCAACGGCCCTCAATGCGAAGCACGGCAGTCCAGGGCTAATCCACTTGAATTTCAATAATCCAGGAGTATCTGTCCGACCGTGAGCGTTTGGAAGGCGATCTCTCTGGTGTGGAGCAGCCTGTCGGGTCAGTTTGCGATGCAGGTATCCGGTTTTTCTACAGGGCATGGTACTATTCAAATTTACACCATCGTATCTGCAGAATGCAGTCTCTTCAGGAATCGATGGACTTGGAAGTCTCGGCAGGGTGATTTCACGTCTGGTTCCTACTTGATTTGATGCAAACCTTCGTCTAGGCAAGCTTCGGCACAATTTTTTGCCGACCCCCCAGAAACAGCCGAGTACCACTGAGGAAGGCCAAGGCAGCCTTCACCAACGAGGAGGGCGCTGCTTTCTTGCAGGCTCCGCGGGTTTGGGGTACAGCAGCAGCTGCAGCAGCGGCAGTGGGGGCAAAGGAATAGTTGCATTTGTTCCTAGGAGGACCACTTGGCATCCTGGTTGCTGCTCCTCTGTCGTGCTGAGTCTGAACCCCTGAAGCCTCAGCCAACGCCCTGAAGAGCTCGTGGCTTGAAGGCCCGGGGTAGCTCTGCCAAGCCGCTGTTGCAGCAGCTCATGGCCA